CTTTTTGTATATGATTCTTTGGGTGACTATTATAAATAATCTTATAATATATGTGTCCTATATTATACTATTCCCTTGCAAAACCCCAAACTATAGCAGTCAATTATACGAATCTTCTCAAAGAACCAACTTTTACTATGTTCCTCTCTTGGATCTTCTTTTTCTCTCTCATTTCTGTTATGGTATTACATCTATTATTACATAATGTAATTATATTATTTCCTTATTCCTGTTTGAACTTACTCTGTTTTACTTTTCTGAAGCTGCTGCTTAGCTCAGGATTCTTGGTCTTTTGGTTCCCCTCTAAGGTAAGCAGTTGAATTATTTTCTAAGAGGATTTTCTGTTTTGAGGACACTTAGACACTCAGACCCCCAACCTGAGCTACCTAAATCAGTTTCCTACTCCTCAACCTTCTAGAGTAAGACTCTTCTTGGGAGATAAGAGAGAAAATTCCAGAGACTCAGCATTCTCCTAGACCGTGTATTACTTCACTCAAGGGACTGTTTACATTATTGTTGAACTAGAAAATGATTAAACTGAAGTGACATTTAGATTATCCCCCTCTCCAGTAACTGCCTGGGCTTGAGAAACAGAAAATTAAGTATAACAATCAATCAGTCAAATTCCTGTGGTAGTTAAACTCAATGACTTTGCTATAATTATTAAATATAATCATTATGATTGTACTATTTCAAACTATTCAGTCAAGGACAACAGTTACTTACTGGCTTCTAAAAGTATTCCTGGGCATTGAGATTCTCTTTCATCTTATTAACAGCAACACCTCACACATGGTAAAAGGGAACCCTGCCTGACTCAGCCTGTTGCTGGAGGTAATGAGAGATCTCCCCAAAAGAAGGGGAGCCCAGGCAGAAGTGGGTTGGGTAGCAGGGGAGGTGGGAAGGGCTGTTCAAGATCAAGTCTGTACAAAAACCTGCGAGTGAATAAGCTGGATGGCCTCCAGCCTGCATGTGGGGAGTGACAGGTGAGTTGTTGTTCATCAATCAGGAAGGCAGGGTTCTCAAGGGCACAGGGGAAGGTGGCTGGTCCTTGTACTGAGAACCACAAGAATATACAGAAGAGCACAACAGGCACCCTGGCATGTTCAAGTTTCCCTTCACATTACTGCACACTCTGCGTAAGTGTTCTTTTCTTGCAGGGACCCTAAAGTTTAGGGGAATTTCTTGCTGCCTGAAAACATCTGTTTTCGTTTTGTCTTTTCTTTTGGAGGACTCAAGGGAGGAAGTAATCTATACAAATTCTGGGGCAGGGCTGGGGTCGGGGCTCAGTGGTAGATTGCTGCCTGCTTAGCACTGCAAGGCCCTAGGGCTTTGATGCTCAGCACAACAAAAGCAAAACAAAACAAAATTTTGGGCAAATGAGATATTTTTCACTAACAATATATCTTTGCAGGAGGACTTTAAGTACCTTCAGGTGAGTTTCAAGAATCTTGCCAAGAAAGAAAATCACATTTAGCAGATGCTGTGAGAGCGGGAGCCTCTGATCCGAGCAGGTGGCTCTAAAACACCTATGTTCAGTGGGCTCTGTCCCACATAGGCAACAGCCCACAGCCTCTAGCTCACTCAGGAAAATTGGCCTGCGCAGGTCTCCCCTGTCCTTCTCCTCTGCCCTGCACGTCCATCCTTCCACAAGTGTGATAGCACCTCTTCTACTAAAATAATTAACAAGAACATTATTCCTTTAATGCTGTTAAAGTAATTTGGAAGGAAGGAGGACATGTGGCCATGTAGGTCAAAAGATAAAGAAATTAGCAAGTATGTAGGATGGGCAGTTCTACAGAGTTAATATGTTATATGAGGACTTTAATTAATAAAATCTTACCGTACTGTATTAGGGATTTTCGCTAAGGAAGACTTTAGCTGCTCTTGCCACAAAAGTAACTATTATGATGAAGGGTATGTTTAGTGGCTTCATTATAATAAGCATTTTATAATCTGTATGTATCCCATAATTCATGTTGTATACTTTAAATATACACAATAAAATTTATTTTTTAAAATATAGCAATTAGCAGAGGTTTGATATGTATCCATTAATGGTGCTAAAAGATTTTATCTTTCAAGTAGCTTTGCAAAAATAGGCCAATGGGAAGCCTAGATGTCTATCGAACGTTTCAAATTTGATGTATCCAGACACAAACTCATTTTCCCACCCAGAATGTGGGATCATCTATCTATAATATAACTGACTTAGCTCCCTTCCCAAGTCAATGCAACAAAACAATGCAACAAAAACAAAAGCAAAGGTAAAGGGAATGGAGAGGATATGACATTAAAATAGATTAAAGATATACAGATACAAACACATAATACTCCTATATCACCAAATGCAATGTGTGAACCTGATTGGACCCCATGTGTCAGGGATAGCGGCAGTTATAAGAGAATCTTGAGATAATTAGGGAAATTTGACTTTAGATAATTTATTAGCCTTTTCTTCTTCTTTTCTTTTTTCTTTTTGTGGTACCGGGGATTGAACTCAGGGCCTTGTACATGCTAGGCAAGCATTCTACTTCTGAGCTACATCCCCAGCCCAAGAAACTCTAGCCTTGAATTACTGGTACTTTCGTAGGAGTGAGATTTGCTATTGGGGCTAACACTGGGGTATCTTACTGCAGTCCTAACTTAAGGAGACACATAGGTTTAAGGTCACAGTGTCAATATGTGACCAGCCTACTTTCCAATTCTTGGGAAAGGCTGAAGATCAGGGGAGCAGGTAGGTAAAGGTGTATAGGTATCCACTGTACTAAAAACTTTCTACTTCCATGTAGATTTTGAAGGTTTCCTAAACAAAAGAAAAACAAGTAATCACAGAAAGGCCATTGCGCCCTTTCAGAAAGAGAAATCCTTAGCCAGAGTGCCTCTCCAAAGCTGTGGAACAGATAGGAGGACAGATAAGATCAAGTGTGGGCAAGTGTCAGGTGACAGCTTTGCTCATCCAGTCAGAGTGGAGAGACAGATGCTGAGGAAAGGGCTAATCCAGTCCATCAGAGACTGGGTTTCTTGGTTACTTTTCTCTCTTTGCTGAGACAAAATACCTGGCATCCAGAATTACAGAAGGAAAGGTTTATTTAGCTCACACTTTGTGGAGGTTTCAGTCCATACTCAGCTGGTTCCAAGGAAGAGTGGCACATGGCAGAGGGCAACCCTTCACGGCAGCAGAAAAACAGCAAAGGCAACAATAGCAAAAGGGAGGAGCAGCAGCAGAGAGTAAGCCTCTTTCCCTCCCTTATAATTATAATGCAAACTACCTGCTCCAGGGCAGGTGTGGCACTCACACCCATAATCCCAACACTGGACCATGAATCAATCATAAACTCTAGAAACCCACACCACGACTGCATGAGGCGCTGAGGGGACATACAGACAAACCGTTACACCAGGTAAGGGTGTGACTGGGTCCTTACACCAAGTCAAGGATATTGGGGCTCTATGAAGCTGGATACTGTCAACTAAAAGAAGGGTACTGGTCCACCTGCTTAGTCCTCAATTCTACCCACACCACTGTTATACTTTTCTTTCTGGCACCCTGGGACCACCTCCCCATCTCATGATCATCTGTCTACTGAGGGAGAAGGCAGCCAGGGGAGCCTGACCACTTATGACAGGAATCCAGCTGTCCTCAGACACGTGTCAGCCTGAGGCTCCTGTTTTGGTTGTTTGCATCCCAAGCCCAGTGTCTTGCTTCCTGTAATCCTGCCCCTTCCCCACCTGCTGTGTCCTCTATAACCTGGGTAGTTGCTAGAAAATGAAATTCCTAAAATTGCACCAATGGGAATTCTAACAAAGGCTTTGAAAAACTCTTGCTCTCTTTCCTTGTGAGCCTGGTATTCCACCGCTTCCACTTCTCTGTCATGGAAGAGGTAGAATGAGGTCCACAGTACAAACACAATTCCTGCTTTTCTATAGTTCACCAGATCTCTATGTAAGCACTGGGAAGGAGCCTCTGTCACCCGCTTTGGCCCTCAGTGTTCTTTGTGGGCTAGGGCTGTATCTTGCCGTCCATGGCCCATTTGCCAGATAGCTCAGTCAATTCCTGGAAGAACCCATAAGAAAACATTTGCTCATACAGTGTTCCAGCTTATTCTTGTGACTTCTGCCTAATGCTCTGTAGATCAAATGAAATTCCACTCTTCACCAGGCTCTCATAAGGCACCAGACTAAGCCAGGCATGGTGATACACATCTATAATTGCAGCACTCAGGAAGGCTGAGGCAGGAAAATCACAAGTGCAATCATACATTGCCAGCCAACCTGGTGAGATCCTGTCACAAAATTTAAAACTTTAAAAAGGATGGGTTGGGGCTGGGGATTTAGCTCAGCGGTAAAAGCGCCTGCCTGGCAAGCGCAAGGTCCTGAGTTCGGTTCCTGGTACCGGAGAAAAACCAAAAAAAATAAAAATAAAAATAAAAGGATGGGTTATGTAGCTCAGAACGAAGGTGTTTGGCACAATCCCTAGAACAACAACAACAAAAATCCACCAGACTTTCCCATCTGCCTATTCCTTGTGGGAGTCTTCATGATTACAAGGTGACTTATTTGCTGGAGGTAGTTTGTGGGTTCCTAAAGACAGGGGCCAGGGGCTGGGGATTTAGCTCAGCAGCACAGCGCTGGCCTGGCAAGTGCAACGTCATGAGTTCGATCCCCAGTACCAGAGGGAAAAAAAAAAAAGACAGGGGCCAAACAACCTTAGTCTACTGTGGGAAGGGCAACCAAGTGGAGCACGTTTCCCCCAAATGCACCACATCTTTTTGAATCCTGAATATGGTTCTCTTTCCAGAGGGGCTTTTGATGAGGACACAGTGGAGAAAAATCCCATTGCAAACAAAGCACAAAATACATGGGACGCAGGAGCACTGTAGCCCAGAAGTCTCCATCAGGGTAAGTGCCTTCTGCCAATGGCATTTATTGAATGTGAGTAAAACAAAGGCTGAGAGTATGAAGGTGGCCCAGGGTACAAAGTAAAGATAAAGGCTTACCTCCCCCTGGAAGCTCTTCAGCAGTGGTGCTACCTGCTTGCGCAAATCCTGGAGCAGAAGAACAGGTCAGCAACGGCCATTGGAGGAAGAAAGAAAAGGGAGACATTGGTTAGGGCTTCCTAAGAATTGCATGGGATTCCGTGCTAATTATCACTGCATAAAACCACCCTGGCTCCTTCTGACCTTCACTCCTAAAAGAATCAACAGTACCGACTCCAGAAGTTATACTGGCTTATATAAGAGTACGAGATTTTATTTCTGCTAAGTCCTGATTGGAATGTGCTAAGGACTAATGTTTTTGCTGTCGATCCAAGTGAGATCACTGACTTAGAATAAAATGTAATGTAATGTAGGTTTGATGCTGTTTCTATCTGAGATGGATTTGGGCCATGGTCCTGAATTTTAGCAGCTATTTTGTGCATGGTTAGTGGGAGATACAGCTTGTTCTAAATCCATGTCTAATGCAGTTAGTCACTAGAAATTTTATCCCAAGCCACCAGTACGGTACCCATTTTGTAATATGGAGACATCCTATAAGTATGTCCTTATCTCTTTCAGAGTATTTTAGTTATAATGAGTGACTGGAAAAGTACTTGAAGAGGGCAACTTCTTTACTGACAGTTTTGACATAGAAGCCACATTTCTGAGCATAATCTACATGTGGGATCAGACTTACTAGGTCTGGGTCTAGGACCAGGCAATAACAACTGTTTAAATTCCAAAGCTCACTTTGATGTATGTGCCCAATCGAAACTCATTAGCACTGATAAAGACAAACACATCAATCAATCTATGACAGGGAGAAAAAATAAAAGTATTATTCCAGAAAAACAAACCCAATGCTATAGGAAGACAAGAGGGAAAGATAAATTTGAGTGAAGGCACGGTCTCACGAAACAGGCAGGAAGCCCCTTAGCTTTTGGGGTCATGAAGCTTTCTGAGAATCCAAGGAAAGCCACTATCTTGCCCTCTGAGACAGAACTACAAATTAATCCACTGGGGCCTCCTAAGGCCTACTCAGAAAGCCTGGTTAGGGACACTTGCTCTAGCCTATATTGTCCCACATAGGGCCACCAAGCACATGAGGATATTTGTAACTAAATGTAACTTAATTAGAATGGTATAAAGTTGACAAATTCTGTCATACTAGCCATATCTCAACTGCTTAACGGCCCTGTGAGGCCGGTAGATCGTGAATATCTTCATTATTGCAAGAACCCACTGGATAAGGTTGTCCCATGAGCTCCTATCGAACATAACTGCATGTTATTTTGTGTCACAACCTGGTAAAAACATTTCATCAAAGAAGTACTGTAAGGGTTGCGGTGTAACTCAGTGGTAGATCACTTGCCTTGCATATGCAAGACTCTGGGTTCCATCCCCAGCAAAACATACACGCCCCTCCCACACGCATGCACACACACCTACACACCTAGTATTTTCTTTTTCCATTTTCTAAAGAATGCATTCTTAAATGTGATACTATTATTCCCTTGGAGAAGCCAACAATTTGCTCTTCCACTGGATGATTTTCTATATTTCTATAATGAGTTTAAGGAAAAAAATGGTAATGAGACTCATTACAAGTCTCAAATAATTAAGAGCCCCTAAATGTATCCATGTTGCGATGCCTGGAACCTGTGAATAGGTTAAGTGACATGGTGGAAGTAACCTAACTTTGTGGGTATGACTAAGTTTGGAACTATGAGTCTGGGAGATGATCTGGGATCATCTAGTTGGGCACCATGTCATCACGGTGTCCTCACAAGAAGGAGAAAATAGGGCCAGAGTCAGGAAGGAGATTTGACAATGGAAGCCAAGGTAGGAGTGTTGTTGGGACACTGGCCAGAGAATGTGGGCTGCCAGGAGAAGCTGGAAAGGACAGACACAGATCCCCTTGGAGCTTCTAAAAGTACAACTCTGCTGGCACTTTTGCGCTAGCCCAGTGGATCCCACTTTGGAACCCTAACTTCTAGCACTGCGCCATGATGCAGTTCTTTTTTTTTTTTTTTTTTTTTTTTTTTCTCCGGTACCGGGAACCGAACTCATGACCTTGCGCTTGCCAGGCAGGCGCTTTTGCCGCTGAGCTAAATCCCCAGCCCCCATGATGCAGTTCTGTCATCTGAAGCCATTAGGACTATGGTAAATTGCTACAGCTACAGTAAGAAAGTGAAACTTTCCTTTGTTTAGCCCATTATATTCTAGAAAGATGGACCCAAACCTAGAACTGAAAAGGAAATGAAGGGGGAAATGGTGTGAAGGGTGAAGAATGATGGAAGCAAGATTGTCTGATCTTAGTTAGGGTCTGTGGCAAAGCCTATGCTTTAATCAGAAGGAATACGCCACAATTCTTTGCAAGGGATTTGGTCATTACAGGCAATGATGCAGGAGGTATAAACACAGGTGGGTGTACTATGTGTGTTTTGGGTGCCCTCTGCCTCAAAAAGAGGCAGGCAGGGCAAAAGAGAACTGTGCCCATGGGACCCTGCTTCGCTGTATTGATAGTAGATGGCTTCTGATGGCCCTTTGGTTACTGAAAGAGGAACCTAGGGCTCCAAGGTGCCTGGATCTAGAGAGGGCGGAAGTAGAAGCAGCCAGGACTCACTGTCTCAGGACATACTTCTGGACATTTCACTTTTAGCTCTACAATCAGGTTGTGGTGACAGGAGTACATCCTCCTCCTATTCAGTCTGGGGCTGCAGAAGGGCCAGGAATGGGCTTTATCTGCAGCATCCAACAGGACTGGGCACTACTTTCCTGAGGATACCTGGGCACAAGAAAGTTTACAACTCAAGAAGACTGGAAACTGGTTCTATTCTGCACCAGGCCCCATCTTCCTTTGCCCAGCCCTTTCTAGCTCATTCTACCCCATAGCAGTCACAGCACCAAACTGTACTGTGGGGGAGGCTGCAAGTGTGGCCAAGGCTTGGAGCAGGGCACTCTGATCTGTGAACTGGGGTGGCCTGGAGAGCAAAAAGACCAGCCCAAGCCTTCTGGCTGGACCCTGGGCTGTACCTCACAGAGCATTTTTCTATCTTCTCCATGCCTACAGTGGGGCCTAGCACACAAGGGGACTCAATGAGCACAAAATCAATGAATGAATAAGTGGATAAACAAACAACCCTTCAAAGAGAGTTGAGAAGCAGTAGGTGGGGGAGATCAGCCCACCTGCAGAAGAGCCCTTGGGGCTGGGCTACTGGTTCCAAGACATCTCTGTCCAATTAAAATTCCACCAGCCACACATGTATTTCTAGTAACTATAAATGCAAAGAGAAGTATAAAGACACCAACAGAAGCATATGCATTATATTTTAATATCATTTCATCCCCATACATCCCAAACACTATCCTTTCACAGTAATTAATAAGGTATTTTAAATTCTTTTTTTTCTTTCTGTTAAGTCTTTTGCAATCTGTTATGTGTTTTCTTTCATACTTAAGTACATCTCTGTTTTGACTGACCATAGGTTCAGTGTTCTACAGCCACACATGGCTGGTGGCCACCATCCTGGGTAGTTCATGGCTAACAGATACATTTGCAAATCAGCTCTCCTGGGATAGACTAGCAAAGATGGTGATCCACTTCCCTGCCATAAGTCACAGGAGAGGAAAGAACATCAAGAGAGGTAGAAGAGAGCAGAAAGAATATAGGGCTAGGAAGGGGGAGTTTGTGGGATGGGGGTCCCTGTATCCAATGTTGGTCATGGAGATGAGGACAGGATAAGAACTGGATTTAACCCCTGGGGAGCTCCTGGCAGTTCTGAGAAGCTTTATAGGGTGAAGGGATAGGAACCAGCTGTAGCAAACATGTGTACGGTTTTGAAAAATCAAAGCCAGAAAAAAGAGAGAGAAAAGGTAGACAAGGTCCAGGAGTGCTAAATGAATGCTGCTACATGCTCTGCACAGATCCATTTCTTTATACAGCGCCCTGCCCCACATGATGGACTGGTCCATTGTACAGATAAGGACAACCGAGGCTCAAGAAGGAAAAGAAATTTGTCTAAGATAACACAGGGAAGTGTTAGTTAGGGTTTGAACCCAGCTCTCTCTCCAAGGCCTGTGCCACAGTCAGATGAACACCCAGACAGCAATGTCGCAGCATGCGACCAGACCCATGTTATCACTCTAGAGGCTCAAAAAGGGCCTAAATCCAGAGATTAAATGGTCAAGCTGGATGCAGTCTTGGAATAAGACAGTGGACTGAGGATTTGGGATCATAAAATTACCAAGGAATTACAGAGAGCTTGATGGAAATGTCCAGGTTGAAGGCAAGATGGGCGGTCAACAGTGCCTCCTCGCAGGCTCCCTCCAATTCTGCTGACCTGGCACAGGGCCAGCATCATGACAGCACCAGCTGAGAAGCACCAGCTCTGAGGTGACAAAATTATTTCTATATCCTATGTCAGAATTCCAGGAAGACCAAAGAGCTGTGCTTCTCCTGTCCTTAAAGCAAGCAAACTCCTTTTAACCAACTCACTGTCATTGATTTGGCCTCTGCACGGCACAGTGGACCTGCTGAAGCAAGCTTTTTGGTATTAAAGTGGGATGTGTCTGCACACACATGCACACACACGTATTTAAAGATCGTGGTGTAGAAAGAAACCACTATATATTCACACATCATACATAAACTGACACATATGTGCTTCAAGTCGCCAGCTAAAAGTCACTTGTTCTAATTTTACTTTTGGCAGTTTGAGAAATTCCTTATCCAATTCTGCTGTCTGCAAATATTATCTGGGTTTGTACTAAACTAAAGAAAGAGATCCAAAGATGCTCAATTCTGACCCATGGGACTCTCTGCTATTGGTCAGCAAAAGCACGACATGATTTATTATTTTTGTGGAGTGGTGTGCCCTTGGTTGTCTAGCTGCCCAGGAAGCAGCCTGCTGCTGCTTCTGGTCGTTGTGTCCATCCACATGCACTTCACTATAGTCACCAGCTGAAGAAAACTTGTTCATGAAAACTATACTTGGACAGTGATAATTAGGTAACTAACACATTTGAAATCCTAACAATACTTTAGGGTTACATCCTTAATTCAGTTA